TAGACATTTACGGTAATATTTTGTGATAATTTTAGAGTTTGTTTACTATATTTTTATGGTCATGTTTTCAGAGGGACGCTGCTGCCCATTCCTCGACCGTTAAGTTAGCTTAGTCACCTCTTACGAGGAAGGAAGGGGTGAGCCATTCTATGTCAGGACCACACGGCAATAGCTTTTAAATAATGATTAGAAATTAGTTTTAAGGCCATAAAATGCGCGACTAAGTAAGGATTCAATTTGGAAATAACAAAGTAATATCCTTTCATAATTAAACTCTACAAAGTAAATTAGTGGCAATAGTAGCGTAAAAAAGAAACGTAAGTTTTAAAAATAAAGAACTTGTTTCTTCATCTGAGAGTATATAAATATGAAGTCTCAGCACAAGTGTGATGTTATTATTAATGCTACATATATTATATTCAAATTCTCTGGCTCACCTGCACAGTTTGCTGCGCCGTTTCATCGCCCTAATTTCAAGTCCTCGATCTAACAATAGATTCTCTACAGTGTCTTTCACATAGTTTATATTGGACAGAAATACCACGTTATTTTGATATAATATAGTGTTCATCCTAAATTCTATTGTAGGGCGGTGAATGAACCCTTTTTGTCTGTTGGGACAGTGATTCTATTAATTTGTGTTATTATTAAAGTTACTCTATTGTAATCGAATGATTTACAATTGCGACATTTTTACTATCGAATTGTAAAACGTTAGCGGTTTACTTTTAATGTTTTTTTTTTATAGATGTACGTAGCTTATAAATGTGAACAAATTAATGTTAACATGATTCCTGCGACAAGCATTTCCAGAGATTTTTTTATTGAATTTACTACACTTTATTAGCAATAGTTTAGACTGAAATCTTTATTGTCACTAGTTTTAAAAGTAGACTCGTAGGATTGGCAATTGCAATTGTTCATCTAAATATCTTTATATTATGGGAGATGTCTATGCCCAGCAGTGGGGCGGTAATGTGTTCTTTAATATGGTAACTGCATATTATTCCATAATAACATTGTGAAAAATAAGCAATTGATTGCCATCTTTTGGCGGAGGAAATATCTTGAAATTATTTTATATTCAGTTATGAAATTTTTATCGAGTTAATGGTGTGTAATCATGATAATTAGCCGTGTGGTCCCGGCATAGAATATGCCACCCCTTCCTTTCCCGTTTAAAATTATAACAAATACGTGGTTTTTTTTTGCTATTTTTTAACTAAAATTTCATATAAATTTGTGACAGTTACGTATACCCATTTAAAAAACACGCATACTAGTGTATCCATTTTCTTGTCTCGTTTTTGTGATTGCATTACCAGTCTGTCAGTAATGAGTCTGAGAGTAATGTATTGGTTGTCATATCACTAGTAGTGACAGATAAGACTAGACCGTCTAATACATTTTACGGTTTAATTTATAATCTAAAATAGTAGTTCTTCTAACTTAGGTATTCTAATTTAAAACTCTTATTTGGATCGGTGACAATTTATTATTTTATTTATTACAGAAAATAAGGTGTAAATATTATATCCAAGTTTTATTGTCTATAGTTTTGTTCAAGTTGTTTGTCGCGAACTCTGTCTAGATTTGATCTCACCTTCGGAGCTTTTTGGCGGGAAACTTATCAAGTGTAGTTAGACCACAGAGTATATAGTATTTTGTATTTATGTCTTTATTTTAATAAGTTTAAGAACTAAATTGTTATCAATTATAAAGATTAATGATCAACTATAAAGATCTTTTTACTTCAGTTAATTTAGTTTCTTGTTACGTGTGTATTGGTAGTAGTTACAGCAATATTTTTATTCTGGATAGAATATCTATAACCAGTGATACAGTAATTAAATGCACATATACTTGTTATAAATTACGTTATTTATGTCAACCTCTAAGGCTAGATTTCCATAGTCATTACTCGTGATGATAGGAAATTAGTCAAAAAAAAAATCTGTGTCTTTAATTATTAAAACAACCCATCTATCGTGTGTCTACCTAGATTTAGATATTGAAGTAAGGTAATTTAACACAAACGAAGGAGTGGAAAGACGCAGTACGGCTCAAAATTAACTTTGGCATAACGCCACGCACTATAATTATCGCAAGAGTGCCAAATTTCTATTACGATTACATACCATCTCTGGTATGCATGTTTTATGGTGTTCTTATTTTAATATGGTTAATTAATGTACTCGTAAAAAGCGGTTGTCAACCTAAGCGTAGCAACTACTGCCCCCCCCTCCCCCCTTATGGGGGTGGCTATGTTCAGCAATGGACAGTCAACGGCTGATACTATATAATACAATTAATAGGAGGGAAAGGGATTGTTAGCAATGGAGTTTGACAACCCCATTGCTATCAATATGCCTTATTAGGTCGACCTCCACGTGGTTCCACCTGGAAACCATCGTGAACAATTCATGTTGAATTCGTCACAATGGGCTAACTGACCTGCTTCATACTCACCTATCATCCTTCACTGGTGCCCCGCCGGTGTATACCGATAACGCGGGTGGGGTTACCATTCCATTATCATCCATTAAAAAAGATTCAATTAAAATAATTATTAAATATAATTATATTAATTACTAGTGGTCCAGCCCAGCTTCATATTTATAATTTTCATTCGTATTTATAAAAATAATATATAGACTGTAATACACGCTGATAATGTAGCTTAATATAAGTGAAAGGATTTTTAAAAGCACTTGAGTAGTTTCTGAGTTTATTAATATTGGCGAATGTTTTGTAGACAATTTTAACAATAAAGTACTTGTGGCAATACATATGTGTGAGTCATGTATTTTTGTGAACAGTTATTACGACTTAAAAGCAAGCACAAAGTAAGTTTTATACGTGTGTCACAACAAGTATAAAACTTGGTATAAATTTGCTTTGTATATATATTGTTATGCAATATACATATATACAAAGCATGATACGTGTTTGATGGAAACGCGATGTACGTTTTGCGATACAGGAAAGGAGTATGAGAGAGTTATGAGAATAGAAACAGAAGTATGTTAAAACAAGTCAAATTAAAATGTACAAGTAAACCACCGAGCTGGGAAAAAGCACGACAGCATGTTCAGGCATCTATTTATATATTTAATTATATTGAAAAATAAGTTGATAAGATTTTTTTAAATCTATGTTTAATTTGGGATTTTTGTTTTTTAACATGTTAATCCCATAAAATCTAAACAAGTTATCTACTATTATAATTATAACTAAACAATACTACTAATTTACTTAAGCACAAAGCAAAATTGAAAAGATAATAAATATGATTGCTTGTGTTTATCATTTACGTAGAAGTGTATGCAAATATACCAATTATTTAATAATACCAATATATGTGTTACACAGTCACACAGATGGGGAAGAAAGGTTCTTGAGTAGCAACTTCGTACGGATAAACGCAGTGTAGGATGACCTCTCACTGGATGGAGTGACAACCTCAAATGTATTGCAAGAACTTAGTAGATGCAGTTGGCTCAGGACCGCTCCTTATGGCAGTCTATGGGGGAGGGCTATGTTCAGCAGTGGACAGATAATGACTGAGATGATGATGAGAATGAGAATCATACCAATCTCCAGCTTCTGAATTTGGGATACCTTGAGTTATGAGACACCAAATAATTCAATTCCTAAATTAGCCTGACCGTGAATCGAACTCAGGACCTCATTTACACAAAGTAACGTGCCCACCATTGCGTCACGGAAGTCGTTAAATTGTTATGCCGTTATAATCAGATAGGTGGCACTAATTAGAGTATTGTCGACGTTTCATTCTAGGAACGTTTGTAACAACGAGTAATTCCTTTTTTTCTATTATTATAATATTGTCGCCAACTGCTACCCAGTTCAGTAGCTGCCCACGTCATGGAACCAGGACATACTTTATTATTTTGACTTGTTTAAATTCTCCGGTATGTTTACCTAAATACCGTTAATAAAGGTATTTTTACCTAAATGCCTACTTACCTTATACTATTTGGAAGGAGTCTGTTTGTTTCAATATTATTTAATGAAGAGGTAAGCTTCAGACTTATGCTTGCTTGCCACCTTTGTGGTATAAAAAACAAGTTGAAACTGTCACAGAAACATTCTTTAAACGAAATTACTAGTTCGTATTACTTACTACTTTGTATGTTGCACTACTTACTGTTGGACATCAGCAGACTGTTATATGGTTTGTTCGTATTTTTATTTACATCTGAAGTTGTTTGTTTGTTTATATTTTCAATAAATTCCATTGTAACAGTCTTGATTTATCAATGAATATGATAGAAAATCTTCAGCTGTTATCGGACTACTGCATAGTTATTGTAAAATATGTAATAGAAAGAATTCACGTTACATTCCTAAATACACATTTTTTTTATACAACTTTGAATGGCAAACAAGTTGACGGTCCATCTGATGGGAAGTGGTAACCGTCGCTTATAGACATGTGCAGTACCATGGACATAACACAGTATACTGTTTCACCCATGATACCCCCCATGCGTTGCTATTCCTGAGGACTAGAGGAGGTGTTATTTCTTTGCATCCTATAAATTTACTGCGATATCCCACCCTTCAAACCGAAAAACAGCTATGCAAACACCACTGTTTCACGATTGAAACACGAATGAGACAGAGGTACCCAAGCAAACGACTTTTGTACAAAGTCTCCCTCTGACACATGTCGGAATACAGTTTTAGTGATTTGTTATCTAATAAACGGAATAAATTGTAGTATAACGATAGAAATGTTTAAGAAGATTACTCAGTTTAATAGTCATAACACTATCATAAGAAGGGCTTGACTGGGAAATAGGCGAATACATGCAGTCGTTTCATTACTCTTGCAAACTCGTTAATCGGTTAACTGCTTATATTAGTTTCCCAAAATAACTTTACCCTAACCGTCCGACCTTGTGTACCGACTAAATCATCTCGCGAGATTCCTGAAACCATCTGTTTACTGAAGGTGTGATCTCATTTTGCAGAGGTCGTCCGAGACTACGATTACTCGCTTCTGTGCTATATGGACTGCTAATTGTATTTGAGACAAGAAAACAACGATATGGCTGAGAACGGGTAAGATATATTATTCTTAATCAATTATGATGTATTAGTATTTGTTATCGTGTTTTTTTTATTATAATTATGTTATAATTTTTGTTAGGTTTTATCCATTGAATTAGAATAAAAAGTTTTCTATATTCTAAGCGGAAATATCTATCTATCTGTGTACAAAATTTCATTTTGATCCGTTAAGCCGTTTAGCTGTAATTGAATAATTAACATAAAGTTTCTAAATATTAACTTTCCCTATAGGTAACTTGAACGCAAATGTACGTAAAACTTCGGAAAAATCTTAAACATGTTTTTTTTCTCTTTGGGATAAACAGAGATCACGTATTTATTGTTTTTATTTCAAATTTCATTTTACCAGTAATGTTTAGGTTCCTAACAACTATTAATTAACTGTCATTGTAAAGTTATGAAGTAATTACCAAATTTCACTTTTGGTTTCTTCTTATTGTGTATAAGTTTCCACTGTAAAGCTTTTTAAATGATAAATTTTAAGCTTTTTTATATTGTGACATTATATAAATTATTTATATATTTAATAAACTTATTAATGTCAATAATTATTTCAAGTGATTGAGTGCATTCGGTGCTAAAACTTGGGTTTCTTGTTTTGGTTCTATATATATTAAAAGCGGTGTCTGTATGTATATAATCACAAATACACAAACATGAACCAGTTCTATTTATAATACTTACTAGTAGTAAAAGGCTAATGTTACCTACAGAACAAAAAAATGTTGAATGAATAATATAGATTTAACTCAAAATATATCTTATTTAATACACAGTGTATTTATAAATGAAATAACGTAATAAGCAACTACTATTAATAGTTTGTAATATATTTCATGTTAAAAGTTTGGCATACAAACGCGATCACAATTTAATTTTATATCATCTAAAAACAAAATGAAACTATTATGAATTAATTTATTGTTCCATTAATCGCATACTAAAAATATTGTTTAAACCCTTCTGCAAACATCGAATTGGACTAGGTCACACGGAGCGTTCCATTTCGGAGACAGTGCGGTTGTGTTGTCACGCTGAAGTTAAATATAACAGATTTCTTGGCTATTTTCCAGATATGGGGCCGGCCCTGTCGCCGGACACGTCGGTAGGATACCAAACTTCGGAAAAACTCAGGTCAATGTAAGTATACTAAAACAGGTTTTTTGTAACAAGTACTATTACCACCTAGTAGCTAAACTATCTACAAAAGTAGCTAAATTGAAAGAACACTTGCATAAATATTACAGTTATTAGTGGTTCATCAAAACATGTAGCATAAGGTCTATTGTAATTAAGCAAAATAAAATAAAGATCAAAAACGTCTTTATATTTTGGGCGTACGTACATGCAAAAAATAAAAATACGTCTCCAACATGAAAAAGAAAACCCAGAAATAGTGCATAATAAATAAAAATAGTATAAATTATTTCTTAGTATCTTTCTTTAGTAGTTGACGAAACTTTTAGGTTTCTAGGTTTCTTAGTGGTAAGGAGACGTTAATCAAGAAAAAAAACGCTTAATAATAAGCAGTTATTGTAGCATAGTTTTCTTGGTTAAGACCATCGGTTTCTTGGTTTTTTGCATTTGCTACACAAAATGCTTATTGAAAAATCAATCATTCACAATAGTTTATAATGATGACTAAGAAGTAACTAACAAGTTAGGTACTGATAAAAATAGTTTAATTATCGTTTAACAACACTATGCAGAATATATAGATATCACCCTCTAATCTTTCATGCGTTGTCAACTTTAAAACTATGGTATGTTTACATCTTAATTATACTAGTAAAAAATAAATGATTATTATAAATTTACATTATATCAATTTCAGCCGATGGGAGCTGAGCCACCAGCTTGCATCCAGAATGCTATGATGACAAAAGATAAGAAGCCTTTCACGTATACTCCAGGTGGTCTTGATCTATCACAAATACGCACGCCGAGTATGGCAAGAAGGATGGCAAGGCAACGTTCACTTGAAGAACAGGAACAAGCATATGGGCAACAAAACAATGGCCCCAAATATAATCCTCAAGGAGGCCCTGCACCACCACCTCCACCACCTCAAATGCCACTACCGCCCCCTCCTCCTCCTCCCATAGTTATTCAGGTCCCCGATTCGAAAGCTCACAAACCCATAGCACCTGGTGAAAGACCTGAAATAGTAATCCCTGAGAATCCTATTGGAATGCTAAGAAAAACGAATAGTCCGTACCATTGGGAGGCTGAAAAGGCAGAACAGGACCGCATGGGCCCAGTTCCGAAGTTTACAGAAAAGGTTCCGAGTCCTTTAACTGTAAAAATGCCGCCAGCTACATTTACACAGCAGCCTCAGAATTATTCACCACAACAAAATCAGCGGCAAAATTATCCCTATCAAAATAATCAGACTCCGGAAAGTCCACTACATAGACCAGCGGCACAATATGCGCAGCCACAATCACCTTCTATTGTTAATGGATCAACACCAACTAGAGAAATTTTACAGAGGCAAGACTCACAATTTAATAAGAGTCCTCAGCCCTTTTCAGGGCAGTCACCAGTCAGTAATGGTGCTCCATATTCGCCTTCTCCTAATAATAATTGGAAACAACCAGAACGGAGAGACTCTCCAGCAAATAATATAAATTACAGTCCACAGCCATTATCGTCAAATCGCGGTCCTTTTTCTCCAAATACACAACAATATTCACCTAGTTACCAGAACCAGCCATCATTTAACAATCCTACCCCTGTTTATAATACACTTCCTAGAGCTAATCAAAGGGGTCCAGATAGTTACGTAAATAATTTGCAAAACAATAATGCCATCTATAACAATACTAGGGAAGACAGTCCTAAAGTCGATCCTTCAAATCCTGCACCATGGCGAACAAGTACTCTCAACAGGAATCCGAGAGAAGCAGATGACTTACAAGCAATCTATCATAATAGTAAAAATATTAATCAACAGCCCACGTACAGTCCGCCATGGAAATCTAACGAAGCTACAATTACTAATAATAATAACACTTACATTCCTGCTTGGAAGCAAGATAATAAAATCTCTGGAAATCAAGTCGACAATCAACAATATAGTCCTCCCTGGGTACAAGATTCTAATAATAATAAAGTACCACAAGAGAATTATGCTCCATGGAGGACGCAGGAGAATGACAACAGAACAGGTCCTGGATTTTCGCCTAAACAAAATCAACAGGAACCAAGGTATCAATCAACTATGTCTATCCCAGTAACGCCAAGGAAACAAAATCCTCAACCCGAGTATAACAACAACCCTGCTCCACATAAAGAAGCAGTGTATGTGAATCAAGAACCAGTATATTTCTGTCCTGAAAGTCCGAAATCAATACCACCTTGGGTCAAATCACAAAAAGAGAAAACAAAGACACCCCCACCAGCTTGGTGTCAAAGACCTTTGGAGGGAAGGAGAAGCGTCCCGAGAGAATTGGTCACTCCTCCTAGGGAAACTACTAATCAAGAACCAGAGTGGGTAAAGAAAAGCAATGAGATGCAGAGAGGAATGCGTGAAGTGATCAGTCCGCCTAAATACCAGCAACCAGCACAACCAACATGGTCGACATTACCGTCTGAAAACCGTAAAAGCGTCCCTCGAGACAATGCTCCCAACGCTCAAGGGAGAATTATTCCAATACAAATGGAAGGATCAAATACCGGTTTAAGGGACCAAGGAAAGCAGCAACCACATTTGAGAATTGTTGTTGACATGCAGCAAAATCCAAATACTCAGGGTTACGTAAACAATGGTCCAACATATTCGCAACCTACACAGCGTATCATGAGAGTCTTATCACCGCAGCTGGTGAGATTAGACGACGGGCCATCTCAGCACGACCTGCCAACTTTAAATAGGAGTTTCCAAAACAACCAGGATACTCAACCAAAGACACGGATAATTCCGATACAGATTGAAGATGGTGGTAACAGCGGGGCAAACAAAAGGTAATCGAGTATTTTATTTGTTTATTTATGTCCTTATAAAACAGCACCATATGAAACTTTTAATATATATCGAACACTGGACCAAACAGGTGACTAACAATCGAAAACTACCACAAACTTCAAATACGGTAAAAAATTAAAAAATTATCTAAGTAATTACGTATTATCAAAAGTGGTAGCGAATAGAAATATGAGAGAAATTTTACAATTTTTACACATTACAGTATGAAATAATTTACCTATTTCTTTGAAAGAAGAATCTCGATATGTAAACTGGTTGACGGATTTGGTTTATATATAATTTTGAAATTATTATACAGATAAAGAGCTATTCGGTGTTTTAATAAATGGTACTTATACTTATATAAAAATTTTACTTTATCACGCTTTTCAGCTTCGGTGGGCGGTACTAAGAAGCGGTTTGCACTGGTCCAAAGTAAACAATTAATTATATATCTATTGCACCGCTTCAATGATTCATTGCAATGCTTGCTTTATACTTAGCACAATACTTCGCTTCGAACATAACGCGATACCATTTTGCTATATTTATAAATTGGTTCTAATTGGCACTTACTAATCGAATTATTAATCGTTTCAGTTTTCACATTTGTAAGTAGTTGTAAGATTAATTTTCTAAACTAAAATACTGTTTTTTTATTTTTTATTTATTTAGGATATAATGTTAGGATTACTAAAAAAGAAATAATATAATTTATTACACATAATTATATGATAATAATATGTTATCTCTTATAATAACATAGACTTTTGAAAATTCGATATTTTGGCATATTTATATTATATTACTATGCATATACATATTTGCATATACATGACAAAAGTTAAAATATGAAAGGAAAATAATGCGTTACGTTCAAATCACACGTACATACATTAATGTAAGGTTTTGAGGACCTTGTTAAAATAAAAAAATATGTATATTTGAACCTAAAATCAAAAGACAGCTATGAATGTTCAGACATTTTAGAGAGAATGTGGATATTTTCAATTACCCTCCCTCCTAGGAATTCTAGCATTACTAACATATGTATGATGTATAAATATGTATTACTATTGGGTTATAGTCCTCTATAAGGTAGACCCTATTCATTAGTTGAGCAATACTAGCTTTTAAGAGGGCATCTTGCTATTCTCTACCTTAGATCTCTCAGGAAAAAACTTTTAACATGTTTGAAATCTCTGTTTTCAACGTTAGGCAAAATTTCGGGAAAGAGTTAATAACATTGTTACATTTGATAATATTTTCTATAACCATAAGATTATATAATCAATATTATTTTTTAATTTTATTTCATTTTAATGTTGATATTCTTTTTTATTAAAAAAATACTTAATATTATTAATAAATATCATTTATTAACAAAATGTCTTAGAGTAATAAAAATTTCTGTGAAATGTCAATTGACAAATGCATGCAATATGTTTTTAATATTTTGATAATTGTAAAAATGAAATATTTTTATAACATTAAATTAATTAGTACTTATTGCTTTAATATCTAGTAATCTAAATTTTAAAATTTAATTATATTTAAAATCATCTACGATAGAATGTGTTGCATGAAGTACTTACGATTTATAATTATGGGTTCAATTAGCTAAAAAAGTGTTCTTTTCATCAGTTCCAGAGTATATTACCACAAGTTTACGCAAGAAGGGCCGCCTCGACAATCCAAGGCGTTCAAAGTTCTGCAGATCATCACAGGCACTCAGGACGCGGATAGTATACAAAATATGGAAAAAAGCCACGGTTACACCGACCTATAGTATTAAATTTTACACAAAATTATTTTTTTATTTTTATATTGCACTTATAACTACATCTAATTTGGATAATTTGTTTATATATATTTTATGTCTAAATATATACTATTAACAAATTAAGTAAGGTACTTAAAGTGTAAATTTTAATAATACTAACTAACGATATGTAACTTATAATAAAATTAAGTATTTTATATTGTATATATTTTATATAAATACATTATATTGTTAAATATATAATTTATATATTCTATATACATAGATAAAACTAATATATTAATACACATATATCAATATAATATATACAATAAAATGTAGATGTTATTATAAGTGCATTTTTAAATTAATAAATTACACATTACGAAATGGTGCGATTTATTAACGCGATGTTAAATACGATAATTTTAAATATATATATTTTTATAAAATCTACGATATCTTTATTAACAGATATATATATATGATGTACTTATTATTAATGGTTAATAATAAATTGTATATATTATAAAACGAAATATTAAATATTTATCTAGCGAAAGTTTATTCATGCTTTTATTAAGTACATGATTATACTAATGCTCACAGAAAACAGCTAGCTTACCAAAGAATATTATAGGATTTCATTAATTTATTGTTAGATAGCTAATATATAATTTTATTATTAAATGTAATAATATATAAGACGACTCTAATGATAATATCGGCCTTTTAATAATAATCAGGTAGGTACATACGTAAATATTAGGTAGCTACTTATAACTCTCCTGTCAAAGGTGTTTAATTTAAGCATAGGTAGTGATAAATTTATAGGTAAATTCGAAGAGGTTACCGATACAATAATTATAATAAATATGTGGTATATACGTCGATAGATACGATTTTATTTCTACTAACAACGTCATCATTTAGAACGAGACGTAAATATTCGTTCCTTATATTTATGTAATGTGTTATCTAATATCTATACCGTAACAATATCGTTAGCTTTTATGACAAACGTTTACATATTATTATTATTTGCATATTATCTCTACACGCCGTGTAAATGAAAGGGTATAAAAAAATCCAAATTCAGCGATAGTATTTTCGTTTCTGAATTATTTTCCTCGAGGGAAACCCAAATATGAGACAAATTTTTGATCCTTCTATTGAAAACTCAAAATTATATATCCATGGATTTTGATATCCTTTCTATTATATTTCCATTAATAAAATGCTTCTTATTAACCATAAATCAATATATAAATAGTATATAAAATATATTTATGTATTGTATTGTTTGGAATAGATTAACATAACCCAAAATTGGAAACTAACAGAATAACAAACCCTCTCCCCCTCCTCAGCGATAAAGGCATTTGAAATGTTCCCAAATATGGTTTTATTTATAATTAACAAAATTTTTGATGTTGTTATATTCTTGCAGTGATATTTTTTGTTCTTTATATTAATGTATCGTTTTGAAGTCCATATATTGAATATAAAAGAGAAATAACTAAATACAAAGACTGTTATCATTATAAAAGTACAATATGTATGTTATGTATGTATTTCACATAATCACTTAAGTTTAATTGTAGAGTTATTTATGCAAGCTTCTACGACATAGATGGTAAAAACCCATGTATCATGTAATTGATCCATTTATATATATTTATAATGTGAACAAAAAATAGTCACTGCAGGTAGTAACCATCGTGAAAACAGACAAGGGGTGTGGCAATCTAGTCAGTGTGATCTTTTATAAGTATCTATATAAGTATTATTTCTTATTTTACGATATTTTATGTTATAGTAGAATTATATTTTAGTTTATTCATAAAAATATAGAATTAAGTGATATATTAATTTTGTAATAAAATCCAATTGGAATTGTATTAGATTTTCATTTGAATAATATGATATATATATATATGTATGTATGTATATATATATATAAATATATAATAGACTGTAATAGGATATCCCTCAAGTAGCACAGCTAAAGTTGCATTACATAACTTGTCTAACTTCAGTATACAGACTAAGAAGAAATTCTTAAAAGTCACTTATCGAACTGTGGTGTACAAAAAGAACTAAATAAGTTCCTTACGTAAATCATGTATTCTTGGTACCGTGTTAGGGGAATCTAGATAATGAAGATTTAAGTGCCTGACTCCGAGTGGTCCCGGCATAGAATAGTCCACCCCTTCCGTTTCTGTAGGTGTCGTAGGAGGCCACTAAGGAAAGGCGAAGGATGAGCAGCAGCGTACCTGTTAAAACATTTCTAAAGCCTAACTGCGGTTGCCAGTGGGGAGGCTTATGTTCAGCAGTGGACAGTTAAAGGCTGATATTATGATGATGATGATAAAGTGCATAACCACATACTTAAGCAAATTTATAAAAGGCCCCCTAAATAATCGTTAATGCCTCGTTAATGCCACTTAGCATAAACGCGAATCGAACCAGGATCTAAAAATTACTTACAATCATCTGATCAGGGATTATTAATTGTTAAAACGAATGATCCTGTAGCTTTGCCATCATTAATTTCGATCGATAGTTCGAATCGATAGTTGATCCATATACTATATTTTTTAATATTAGGGGGGACTTATAGTAATTTTCACCTTCGTAAATGTTCATCACAAGTGACTTTATCCATGTGACCAGGATATGTTCACTAACTGGAATAAAATGAAACCTTTGTCCTTCTCCATCCTATACAGTACTTTTATATCAAATTTCATAGTGATTAGTTAAAGCATTAAGATGTAACAAACAAGCTTACTCTCACATATATACATATCTGTCACGCCTGTCATCCATTAGGGTAGGCATAAACAATAGAACGCCAAATGCTTCAATTCAAAAAAACCTTTTTTACTTCTTTCACATTCATCAATCTTTTCACACACGCTCGCCGATTACGGGTAATTTTATTTTGGCCCTTCAGCACATCGCCTATTTGACTCGTCGAGTCACTCTCACATAACACTATTATATACTATTTTTTTTTAATGGGTGATGATCGAATTGTAACCCCGCCTGCGCTACAAACTACACTGGCAAGGTATTAGTGAATGATGATAGGTGAGGATGAAAAGACAGGTACGTTAGTTCATCGTGATGAAAACATTTGGAATTCAGCACGATGGTTTCTAGGGGGGTCGACCCGGTTGGGTATATTGCTAGCAATGGGGCCCTTAGTCTCCATAATAAACAATCCCTTCCCCCCTATTATATACTATTAGTTATATCGTGATATTATAACTATATAAAATGTATCGCTGCTGGGTAAGGATCTCTTTTAATAAGAAAAGGATTAGCTTAAGCCTCCTATTACAATGATGGTCAGGCAATTTGCCATATTCTTTTGAGTTTCCTTCTATTATAAGTTGATAATTGTGTATTATATTCTGTTCCCCAAATTTCTTGTCAACATCTTAAAGATAATTATTCATATGTCGCCACCACAGAAGGAATGTTAGTTTCCCAACTATTGGTTACCAAGATTTTGTCCTAATAATCTTGATATATAATATAGCCTACGTCCTACCCTATGGTCTAAGGGAGGAAAGGATTGTTAGTAATGCGGTCTAACAGTCTTATTGCTAGCAATATACCTTATCAAATTCACCTTCATATGGTCCTCCCTTGGTGGAAACCATGAATTCTAGGTGTATTCATCACAACGGGCTAACTGTGAGCTGACTTTTCATTCTAATCTATCATCCCTAACTGGTGCACCACCAGCTTATATCGATAGTGCTGTAGGGTTACCATTCATTTAAAATCCATTAAAAAACCCATGCTCTAGTACAATACATAACTTTTAGATTTTCGAATTGCACAATTTGCAAATTTGTATCAACAATAAAAAAGTTGTGTTACACAAAATAAAACCGACTTCACTTATAGTGATTTGGCCACAACAGAATATCAGTGTTTTGCTCTTTTTAGGGCAAAGCAAAAAGCTGAGTTGTGGCCATTTTGCATTACTGTGGCACACGCATGAAGAAAAAAAAAATATTATGCATTCTGATTTTGTTTTTAGTTTTTTTTTTTTTTTTTTAATCTTTTGTACATGTATCTTTTTTATCTTTTTTCACATTGCTTTTGTGTCTTTTGTTTGTGTGCTGTAAGTTATGCAAATAAATTATCTATCTATCTATCTTATAGCAAAACTAGCTATTTTGATTTAAAAACTAAACTCCTGAATCGATTTTGACAACATTTCTATGGGACCACCTGTAAGTATATCCTTTTAGATAAAAAAGAACTTTTCCAAATCAGTTTACAATTGATTACGACTGATGGAATTATGAGGTAACAAATGTAAAAAATTACAACCCAATTAAGAACCTCCTTTTTTTTAAAGTCGGTTGAAAACAAACTCATACGAACTCTCTTCTTATGAATGTAAAGTAACAATAAAGCTATGCTCACTATTTGGTTTACCTGACGAGATGTATATGGATTGACAAGGATAAACAATTATATTATGTCCTTGTTCATTTTATACATTTGTTTATTTTATTTAAACTTTATTGAGAAGAAAATGTAATACCTACTAATGACTGACTTAATTTTATTGATAATTGTATATTCTCTTTTATTTTACTGAACTAGGTGTTATCTTGCTAGAATCCATATTACTGGTTGTTTGAATAGAATTATTTTGTTTAATTCCCCTATCATTAGTATGTGTGTGACTAACAGCAGTCGAAAATTGACCACCAGTATTACTACTAGAAGTTCACATACACCAGATTTTAAGTTAGACCTTTAGAAACATAACTGTGAAAAGCACATTCAATTAGGTGCGTCAGTTTTAGCGTGATATCGGAGCAAACATACAGTTAAAATATATTATAGAATTAAAATTTTTTAAAGATTCTCATCTATTTTTTCTTAAATATTAAAGACATTGTATAGTTTCAATTTTATTACATCAATAAAATAAGTAGTATCATTATATTTTAAAACAAGGATTTGCTAAATTTTATGACGGTTTTATATTTGTAAAATTAATAAAGTAGGGACTAACGATCCGGCCTGGTCGGTGGGTCGCACGGGTAGATACAATTGTCGAAAATAATATATAGTCTATATTCATCATCATCATCATCATTATTGCAGCCATTATCCGTCCACTGCTGGACATAAGCCTTCTCCATAGACTGTCATAAAGAACGGTCCTGAGCCACCTGCAGCCACTAACTCCCTCAAATATTTTATATTATTCACTGATAATGTAGCTTTCTAACATTTTTAAAATTAGTTGAATAATTTTTGAGTTAATCCATTACAAATAATTAAATATATATAATAATTAAATATATATATATATATTGACAATCGTAAATATTAGGAAAGTTTAATAACTAACGACGTAGACGAAGTGTCAGGTACAAATTAATTACTCGATGATACGTACCTCCACTTGCCTATCACTTTAATTTATTATAACTGATCCCCGGTAATTAATATTGAAATATTAGGGGAAGGAAAGCAATACGGATCAACGCATAGTTACGAAATTTCGACTAAATTTTGTAATATATATCTCTAAACCACGTATATTAATGGATTACATATTGGATCTTGAAACAACACTTAATCCTTCTTAACGTGTTTGCTGTATGGTCCCAGCGTAGAATAGGTCACCCTTTCCTTTCCCGTGGGTGTCGTAAGAAGTGATTAAGGGAAGTTAACGGTCGAGGGATGGGCAGCAGTGTCCCTCTTAAAACATCACCAAAACCTAACTGCGGTTGTCAACTAGACTGCCAAACTGGCACTGGTATGATGATGATTTCTAAACTACGTTTATTAAGGAGACTGCATCTGGATTTCATCTTAGATCTTGAAATAATCATTAATCCTTCTTAATGTGTCTGTAAAACAAAATTGTACTAACTAGTTTTAGTTGAGTTTAGTTGAGTGCTGGAGTCAAAAGAATTATTTGAAATACAAGATTTTTCAACAGACTATATTTTTTATTTTTTTATTTATTTTATTTGACAAAAAACACAAAGTTACAAAAACAAGATACAACGGGCCCCACACTAGGTGAACCTGTATCGTGGGCATTCGACAAAGATAAACAAATCACAAATGTGTTGTAATAAAAAGTACATAGTGGGCGGGTATTAATATAAAAAGGAATATAAAATTGAAACAGTGGAAAAAGTAATAAAATTACGTACTATACATCAAATAAAGTATATATATCAAATAAAGTAGCTTCAGATTCTTCAAAAAACGGATAAAGAGGTTTCTTCGGAGTCGGCAACGCGCGCGTAATGCTCCTGGTATTGCAGTTCATAGGCTACAGTAACTGTTTACCATCAGGTAGGTCATATGCTTGTTTGCCACCTTAATGGCATAAAAATAAGCTCAGTTTGTAACTAGACGACGCTGTCTGATATGTTCAGAGTTATTGTTTTGAAATGTTATTGCAGTGAGCGTGACAATATGAAATTGAAAACAGTCCTGATAAAATTTATGAAAGACTGATAATATTGTATTAATATTATAAATGTGAAAATTTATAAAGGTATACGTTATAAAGGTATAAGCTCTATTTATTTACCAAAATTATTTGTACTGTTGGTTGTTGATTGTCTTGAAATTGTAATTTGATTTTTATTTATGTAAAGATGTTTGGGTACTGAAATGTTGAAAAGCTTATTTTTTTATATTACTATGGGGCCAAATAAGCATACGGTCCGTCTGATAGTAAACAGAGTTTCCGTAGCTTATAGACGCCTGGAATACCAGGGAAGTCACGCGCACTTTTTTATTATTTAATTACAAATAAATGGCTGTGTGTAGAATGTATTTTAATGAAATTTATGACATATGTAGATTTCGAGTATGTTTTAAATTAACACAA